TAATTAAAGATGTGATGTTACTTTTTTGTCTCTCTACATCTGTTACACATTACACCCAGCTGTGAGCTGTTGTCCATGCTTATCTGTACAGTTTAAGCAGTTTGAGTTCTCTGATTTGATTCTGCTGATTTGTTGGTTGGTATGGTTACCACTGTGTGAAACCTCTTCTGTGCGTCTGGTGGCCAACACTGTACTCCTGTGAGTACATTTTTGTTATTATGTGACTGTTCTCTATGAATAAATGAGAGTCTAGGATGTCTAGGTGACAGTTCTACATATAGCATTAGCATAACACTTTCCTCATACCAGACCCTGTGTGCAGTAAGTTGCATACTGCAGATGAATCCTCTTCCTCACTGTGTTTGCAGTGACGCAGAAGGGCAGTAAATATGGCCAATGAAGGATTAGTGATCTGGTTTATGCTTAGACATTGAAGGCAACTGTTTGTTTCCTATTATCAATGCCTAGTAAATGGGAGATACAACAACACTCATGTTGGTGCACAAGCGCGCCCTTACAAAAAGTGTCTAGCCTATAGCATGGAAGAACTTTCAGCTGACAGGAGGCCAGCTGTGTCTCCTTAGCTATTATGTCCATATGAATTACAGAATGAAGGGAGAGTATACCAGATATGTTTAAGCAAATTGTTGTCGTAGGATTTTTGGTTAATATGACCCTGCCTCAGATTAAGGTGTGGGAACCAGGGAGCTGTGATTGAGTCCCAGTAAGTACTCCCTGCTGCCACCTCCACCCTGTTGCATCAAGCCATTCCAAGGTGATGCATACCAGCAGGAGTTATTTCACGCTATTGAAGAAAGAAAAACCTGGCATGAAAATGATTGCCCCAGACTATTGAAGCATGAACTCCAAACCTGCATTTTATATGCTTCTGCCTCAACAGCTGTTGATGATGAGATGGTGTTCTGCCTAAACAGAGAACTGAGATCATTTTTCTGCAAGGAGACAAAGAATTTTTGGGCAATAGAAGTAAAACTTGCATTTTATATAACAGTTTAGCTATCCCTAAAATAGGTTAGATTATATAGGTGAATCTCCACATAATGCTTTATTTTGCAAGTAATGTCTCCTGCTGTGGGTGGAATTGACTGAGTTTATTTACACTGTGGCTGCAGTTTGAAGCTTTACTCAGTTTACAGGATATTGTCATATGCTGCAATTTTTAGTCATATTTAACTGGATGAAAATTAGGCTGGCTGGTGCTGGGTCATCTGATTTATTTACATTTGCAGTGAAATCAAAAACTGAATTACCTCCATCCAGGTAGCAATAGACTGTTTTGAAGGAAAGATATTTTTGAAGGCAGACAGATAACAAGGTAGTGTTACATAAATTACACAGGTCTGCTTTATAAGATTCTTCAGAAGTAGAGATTTGAAAAAACTCTTTCAAGCCCTGCTAGCCTATAGTCTTAATTTTGAAGCATATTATCCTTTAAAATATGAGACAGTAGTGAGCTTGCTTTTTGTAGTTGTTGAAATTAGGACAAAAACTTATTCTTTGAGTCCTATGTTTTATGAAAACTACTTAAATCTGTTTTATTTTTAAACTAAAATTTTACAGGCAAGAGGCTTGATTTTCATTTCGCGTATGCTGGTATCAAATCAGAGTAGGTCCTCAGAATCTTTCAGTTTGCAACTTGGGAGGAGACTGATTTAAATCACATTTTAGTGGAGACACCTTTATGAATGCTAACATAGTCACACCAGCCCTTTGAATACAATTTTTGTCAGTTTAGTCAATGAACACCCCCCCTCAATATACATTTTTCAAATGCCAGATCCAGGTCGTTTTATCAGCCCACAATGAAATACGTATTTTGGAATTAGCTCTTAGCACAGGCATTTGTGAAACCAAATATTTACAGAGCTTAAGTCCACTTACCACAATTAACGTGCCCCTTCCTAAGCCTGTCAGCTTCACAGGCTTCTGGACTGAGTGCTTACTTGCTGATGGTTGGGGAGGCCGGTTCAGGCCATTAGTCTAACCACGTCAGTACCTGTGCTGCCTACGTAGCCCAAAGCTTTTTCTTTCTGCCCAGGACCCAGCCTATGCTTCCTGTAGCCATGAAATGCTGCACAAGCAGCTGTCTTATTCCTTCTTCCAGGAGATCAGCTGATGTCTACATATTTTTGTCTAAATATTCAAATAGCTGTTGTCTAAATGTCTTTGTCGGAGGCTTTAAAGAGCCAATGTCTGTCCCTCAACTCACCCCCATCATCTTTTTTCAAATAACTTCTTGTTTTTGAAAAAAAAGTTTTTGTTCTGCTAACAGCAAATGCATTACATTCTAATTCCATTTAATTCCACTTCCTTATTCATCGTATTTCAGTAAAAAGAATACATACGTACGTGTGTCTGAGGGATGTCACTTCGTTGTGGCTGTGATAGGGAAAAAATACCATAGAGCCAGATTCTTCCCTCCCCTGAAGAAAATGCAGTCTTCCTAGGTGTCATACTTCCTTACAGTCAGGTTTTAAAAATAAAAATAAGACTTTTAAATATCATGGAAATTAAGCACCATTGCATCTCCCCCTACTGATAAATTGGAGCAGCATTTAACAAGACAATGTCTGACTTCTGTGCTGTATTGAAGGGAAAGGTCATAGTTAGCTGTGTTATGAAAAAAACTGTTTTAGTCTCTGCATGCAGCCATTTTAATGTCAAGTCAAAGTTAAAAGGTGGTTCAGTCATGGGTGAAGTGCTGTTGCAAGTATCAGCCTTGCCAAGGGTTTCATTTTTAAATTCTTTCTTTCACTTCACTCCATACAATAACAGCAGCTTTCATTTTAGTTTCCCCACACAGATCACAGTCCTTCACCCTAATGAAAAACACTTGAAGGACTTAACAAAACATGAATACTTAGTAAAAGCTAGCAAGGCTTGTTACCTCTGATGTCATACTATGCCATGAAAGCTCTTTTTTTCAAAGATACTGACTATGGAGTGAGTCACAAATATGTTGCCTCTATCAGATGCAAAGGACGGTCTCTTTGATACTCTGAGAGAAGCTTAAACCCAGCATTCCATAAACTAAATAATTTCTTATAGGCTTGTGACATCTTCTGCCAAAACAATGAAATAGTTTTGTTTTTCTTTTTAAAAAGCAATTATCTCTGAGAGATCTGTTGAGCGGTCTTTCACGAGCGTTTTTGTGATGGCCTTTGGAAGGACCTTGTCCTTGGATGCTAGGCGAAGGGTAGCAAATGCAAAGCAAGCACTGGTGTTCTTCAGCTTTGTTACAGTGCCATCAGATGGAACAGGATGATGTCTACATGCCAAACTGAATTTTTGTTGAATTAAGTCCTCTACTGTAAAAGGTGTAGTGCCTGCCTTTTAGCTGTTGCAGCAGAAAGCATTTAGCTTCTGCAACATAACATTAAAAAAAATTGCAAAATTTGTATGGTTGCGTGTAAAGAGCTTAACTCTCAATTTTACTAATGTCAAAGCAGAAATTTAGTATTTAGAAGATGTGTTTTAAAACTGCAAATAAAACTAAAATTAAAAAAACCCCAAACCTGGAGAGATTCTATCTTTGCAATTCCAAATAAGTAATATCTGTTACTGAACTGAAATACTATGTTGAAAATTTATGAGACTTTCTATTATTCTGCTATATTTTATTAGCAGGGCAGCATCGTATTGATAATTGTGTTCACCTCGTTAAAATATTTTGCAAGTCTTACACTAATTTCCTAATATTTTTCCACTTCAAAAAGGATATTATTGAGTGCTTTAATAAATTTCCCCTTGAGAGTGTATCAACTGGGGAATATTTTCAAGTGAAAGTTCACAATAGATAAAGGGGTTGCAAATTCGTAGTAAATGAAATTACTGTAGCCATTTTTAAGGTTTAATTTCAGGCCTATTGTAAAATTAACAGGTTAGAACAGGCTTAATTTTAAATACTGAATCAGTATGTAGTTACAATACCATTTGAAAGATGCTTGCCTACTCCTGATACGTATTGATACTCAGATAAATTGGAAAATGTTTGATCCCTCTAGTGAAGGCAGTTACACATTTGGAGCTGTGTATCATATAAAATGTTGTAATAGTGTCATGATGCACGAATTTACTTGATAGTTGTCTTGAGTCATATATCATTAAGGGAATCATAGATTCATGGGGTAATTCAGGTTGGAAGAGAACTCAGTAGGCCATTTTATCCAGCCTCCTTCTCAAAGAGCATGGCTTAATTATTTTAATTATCATTCCATGATAATTTAAGGATTCACCCAAATCATGAACTAAACTAGACAGACAGTCAAATACATTGTCTTGAGATTGGGACACTGAGACAGAGGATTCAATTTCTATGAAAAGATGCATTTCTGATCTGTGAGAACAGGATTTCTAAGTTCTGTTACAGAGAGCAAAAGGGCAAAATATCGGTATCTCGAACAGCACAGGTGTCTATGCACGATGTGAGAGAGAGCTTATTAATGGAATTCTGTGAACCATGCACCGAAATAAGTATGTTTGGACATGGCCAATAAACTATGGCTGGAAGAGGAAGGATTTTTAGAACTGACTGCCAGAATTTCCTTTTCATTGAAACTAGTACTCAACTCTTTGAAATTACTTCATTACTGCAAGTCAATTTCTCTTTGTAGCCATTACATAAAACTGATTGTAAAATTTTAGAATCTATATAGAAGAGCACATAACTAAATGGGCCTGTGGGGAAGGGGGGGGGGGGGGGGGAAATGGACTCTTCCACACTGGAGGAGTCAAGAACACTGCTTAATTTTCAATTAAATCATAAAATCTCTGAAAGTTTTGATGTAACGTGATAGGGATTTGCCATGACTTCTTCATGCCATTGTCTTGTTTTCAAAGAAGCTCTCAAATCTTTTGGTATAGTTTATTCAGTTCATTTTCTATGTCAGTATGTTATTCTGCAATGTCAAGACCTAAGTCGAAATGCCTGGGAGTTTGGCAATCAGTATTTTTTTTTCTGCTTTATCTGAATTTGATAGAGAATTTTCCAAGGAAAGAGAAAAAGCCAAGGCCCGGGGGGACTTTCAGAAGCTACGTGAAAAACAGCAGCTTGAAGAAGATCTGAAGGGATATTTAGACTGGATTACACAGGCAGAAGACATTGACCCTGAGAACGACGAAGAGGTTGATGAAGAAGGGAAACGGAACAGTACGTGTTCTTTACTCAGTACTATTACTGTGTGGGACAGTTTGATGCTTTAAAGGATGTTCCACTAGGGTGAATGCAGCCTATCTGATGTCGCTTTCTGATTTCCAGTTTGCAAAAGGGTTCATTAACAGAGTGATCATGTCAATTAATATGTGTTTGTAGGTGCATGCAATAGAAATAATAACAATATAAAAAAAAATTAAAAATATGGCCAAAACTACAGCCAAGAAATAACCTTGTGCTAATAGTGAGGATTTCTTTGATTTTTGAAGTAGGGAAATGACATTCTGGATCTTTTTTCTGATACTAAAAAAAAACTATATAAAATCTTTTTTTAGTAGATGTATTAACTGGGTGTGAAATAAATGAAATCTTGTGGGATTTTTGTTTGACACTGAGAAATATAATTATCACTTACTTACAATGTATGTATTTGACAGTAGCATGTAGAATATTACGGGAAAGGTAATTTATGCTGTAGTGGCCCTCTAGTGCTTCTGATCTGAGTCCTAATGCAAAAGAACAAGTTAGTTTCATGATATTGCAACAACTGTAAAAGTTATAATCAGTTTCTCTGTGTTAGAAATTTTGAACAGCAGCAGTATTTTACTGTCATAATTTAGTAGAGGTTATTTTAGCCTCTTAGCCATGTTTACATAGTAGTGGTTAAAATTTCCATGAGAACTTTTAGTGCTGTACATAAATGAGAACACAAATTCAGGATGTGGTTTATGATTTAATACTAAATGTAAGATTAAAGTCCAAATTTCAATATGTATACTAATGCTAAATAGCACCTTATTATTCATGTGATACTCCGGAAAGTCATGATATTTATTCATTTAGATACCATTGAGTATATATAAGAAAATGCATCTACAAGTGGTTTGTCAAAACCAACTTGGAATATTATTTTCTGTGTTGAAATAATACATTATTACTGTCCTTTTCCTTCTAGTCCTGCTAATTTATTGTGAACTATTCTTTTAAACCATAGTATTTTTCAGAAGTAGTAAAATAGTGCAAATTATGTGATTTGATATTGAGGTATCTGTTTTTAAACTTATCTCTGTATTGCATGTAAAGTTTTAAAAAAATCTTTATATTTTTGAGTTTCAGAATTTTATTAGTCCTTTAGTTCGCGCTAAAAGCAGGGTATGAATCTGTGTTACTGACTGGAAGGAAACAAGATGACTTTGAGAGGCTGGAAGGCAACTTGTGGGTTGATGTTGATACCAGCATCACCCAGAAAGGAATAATTTATGTCTATATGAAAATAGCACATACAGATTTTTTTATATAGAGCAGAGCAAAAAAGCCACTACTTCACTATCCTTGGTTATTGCTAGTAATGTTGTGTGGAAGGAATACATAAACTGTGGGTTTGAGTATTAGTATAAAATCCCGAGACTGAGAAGTAAAGATTGTACGTTTTATGGAGTAAATACACTTTGTACAAGACTACCATGCAGAATTGTAGGTGATGCCAAATTTGCACAAGAGTGTTGAACGCCCATGCTGTCGGCTATGATGCTGATGGACTTGGTTTCCAAGTCTGCGGGTGAAATCCCAGGAACTTCTTGCATCCTGTTCAAATTGAATGTTTGTTAGTATGCTGCAGAAAAACCATTTGCTCCAGCATTCCTTGAACAGCTTGTAGGTCATATAGGTCTTTCATAAATCATAGAATCTGAAGAATTAACTTTCAGGCATGCATATGTATTTTGAGTGGAAATTTCCAGTGAATAGGCAATCTTCTAGCACTCCTCTGGATTTGTGCAGCTGTGCTTAAATGTGTGGCATGGAATTTGATTTTTAATATCGGGTACAACAGGGTGTAAAGGAGGAAGGGTTGCTGAATTGCTCCACCTCCTTGCATTCAAGACATGTTCTGCTGCATATCACATTGCATGGGGAGGTATGATGAGAGACAACACAAGCTATCTATTTAGTTATTCTGTGGGAAGCTTTTGGGTTAGGAGCATAGTTCTGATAATAAGCTACAGCTTATTACAGGAAGTCAGGTGAAATTGAGCTAGTTATCACTAGGTTAATCATCTTGAGTTGTAAGTCCATCTATACTGGTGATGTGTGTTTGGAACTGTCTTTGAAGCATAAGGTAGGGCAAGATATAGGGCAAGATATATTCAAGATAATGGGTCTTAAGATAGGCAGAGTGATCATTTGCAGGCTTCTAGACAGCTGTGTCCCTACTTTGAATGCCTAAACCTCTGGATGATCAAGATTACTGCTGATTTGTGTTGACAGAAGGTCACCATAATGCTCTTCAACGATGTGGAAGAGCTCTGGGTTTAGGATGCAGAAGATCTCTCTATGGCAGGAAAAGGTACAGATTTCAATGGCAGTTAAATTGGTGATTAACAGCTGCTTACATTATCCTTTAAAAATGTAGTTTATGTTCAGCAACCCCAGCATTTTAAAATTTCTAACCAGAGAAGTCATTAAGTCAAGTAATACATATATTAACCCCCTGTATTTGTACATGTCTGCTGCTGCTAGTGGGCAGGTATTCAGTGCTGTTGAATAATGGAATACCTTTTAACTACTGGAATTGTAAATATGCCTTTAGTAAAAGTCATAAGTCTTTATTGTGAACCAATAGCTAGTTACCCTGAAGTCAATGAAAAGCTTCTATTGACTTCAAAGCATTGCATATTTAACTCAAAATGCAAAAATCAATGAGAGGTGAGGGATTTAGCTCTGATTAGTTATGCTGCCGGTAATTTCAATTTGTTTTGCCTAAAATTGCTTGTGTTGTATATATGGACACATTTTTATTTTTTGCGTTGCAACTGCTGCCATCTGCTGTGTAAATGCTGGGATTACATGTACTTAACGCGAAGGGGTTACATTGGCTGACTTAATGGAAGAGAAGAAGAAAAGCAGACTTAGTTGCTTTGGCCGTTCTTCCAATAAACATGGTAAAACATGTTCTGATTTGCAGTTGAACTTTCTTTTGTGCCAATACCGCATTTGATATGTTAGCTTTTGAAAGCACATATTGTATGCGTTTTCTATAACAAAGGCATATACATCTTTAGCATGTAGACACTCGTGCATGCAGTTCTGCTCTTTTAAGTGCATGTCTGAAATAGACTGGTGCTGCAGTGCTCTACCTTCCTAAAGCATAGTCTTTAATCCATTTAGATTTCCACTGAAGTGTCTTTGTGACTGTTCTTGTTGAAGAATAGGTTTTCCTTTTCAAAGTCAGGTAAATCAGATAACAAACGTATTTTAAATTCAGATGTGAAGAAATTAATCAAAGTATTTTACAAGCTTTATAATGGATCATAGTGTAATCTTCAAGCAGTATGATGATAATATTTGCTATTTATACTTTTAATGTAGAATCTAACAAAACATAACAAACTTTTACTGTATCTCTTCTTGGTATTGATGGTTTTGTTTCTGTAATTTGTGTTTTATTCAATTTCTTTCCCACCCACAATGGAGATGGACAGGGTTTTTTTAGAGTATGACAGTTATTTTCAAATCTGCAGTCTTTTAATGCTGACAAACATATTGATTTGACATAATCACAGTTGTAGTTATTAGGAGATCTAGTTTTAATCCTACCTACAACAAAGTTACTGCAGCAACTGACTTCCTTGCTGTCCTAAGAATCACTGTTGTGGCTCAGACTGAGGCTGACAAATCTTATCCAGTTACTTTAGAGAATGCAGAATAAGTCAGAAATTGCTAGGATGCAGTGGACTCATTTTCTACAAATACTGAGTCTGGTTGAAATTATTTGTGTAACTGTTACATAAATAGTCTAATAGCTTGCACAACTTTACAGACTGGAATCATTTTTGCATAAAAATTGCTAAAAGACAGTGGTTGCAATTTTACTTTGGATATGTGTTTCAACATAGCCTTTCAACTAGCAGGTTCAGGTTCTGATGTCAGTCATGAAGAAGCATGGAACTGGCTGGAAACTTGCTGTTGTCTGCTGGCCACAAATGTGGTCTCATTACCAGTACCTGACCTTGCTGGTCAAAAGCGTTCTCAAGCATGTGGGCACTGACTGAGTTTCATCTGTGTCTGGCGGGGCAGGTATACCTTATACTTTTTTATGAGTAGGATTTTTCCAAAGTACAAATTGGTGGCCTAAGTCTACTTCTTTCTCTATTTGTGAGACTATTATGCTGATCTGAGTACCTCAAACTTAGACTACCACTGGATTAGAATTCTCACCATAAATATTTTTCTTTTTATTACTTCTGCCTCTGTTTCTATTAAAAGCACCATATCTGTAGAGAATACAACATCCCCAAGATTCATAGTGTCATCCTTCAGGCTAGAAGTGGTTGGTTCAGTGATGCTTTTGTAATGAGGACTGGTTATTTTGCTCTCCTTCCATTGCTATGCAACCATTCACCCTTGTATTGAGTTTCAATGGGCTGCTTATAAAAAGAGAGCCTATAAAAGTGATTGCTGATAGTATCAACATTACATCTGCACTATGAAAACAGGTGCCTCACTGCAGTATCATGTAGAACGTCTTCCAGGCAGCCCCTCCTTAAAATGAACTTACCCCGAGAAGCTTCACAGTCAGAATAGATAGTACTACTTCTTTCCGCAGTCAGAATAGATAGTACTACTTCTTTCCGATGCGTTTTCTGGGCATACAGCGGACTTAGGAAAATTTGAGATGAATTTGCAATGATAATGTTGCCTCTTTGGGGAATTTTTTTTGTTCTGTTTTCCTGTTTGATTACCTCAAAGATTTGGTGTAAAGGATTCAGAAAATCCACGTACTGATTTGAGAAAGAATTAGGAGGATTTTGGAGCTCATGGAGTTGGTTGGATGTTGCTAGCAGACAGATGACCATTTTGCAAGGTTGATCTAAAATTTTGCCAGTATAGTACCTTTTTTTAATAATTGTAAGATTCTCTCTAGTAGCTATTAAAGATTATCTGCCTAGCTGTGCAGGTCACTCCACTTCTGCAGCTCTTTTCTTTTGGCAGGTGTAACC